GCAAATATATATATATATATATATATGTGTGTGTGTGTGTGTGTATGTACACACATAATGCATGTGTATATAATAAAATCGAACGTCATAAATTCGCCGAGATCCACTTCTTTTCCGCAGTTGTTTTATTTATTATTATTATTTTTTTTTCGTCACCCTCCGATGGACGGCCCTCATAAACTGTGATAACTGTCATCCGAAGAACGCGCAGCAGTCGATACACACACACACACACACATAAACGTCTCTCGTCCAGTGGAAACGGTAGCGAGGGCTCTGCACTATATATTATATACATATATGTATATAACAATGATAATATGCCGCTCGCGATAGCTACAGCGTACGACAGCATACAATAATAACAATAATAACAGTACGGCCTTTTCTTCCGCGGTTGTGACGGTGGTTTTTGGGGAGCAAAAAGACTATATACGAAATAATATCACTGTACAGTATATATCATATGCGCGTGGTGTAATATTATTATCGAAAACGTTTTGAAACGTTCATATATATAAATACAATATGGGGATGGTACGGCACCATCTCCAAAAGACCGGGCAGACAATGATGAGTAGATATTGCGACAGCGAGTGGCCAACACTATGACGTACAAGTGTCATAGTAATTATGTATACGTACCAAACTATAAACATAAAAAAATAATTATCAGTCATCAGCTACTGTCAGGTACATCAAACGGCGGCAAGGTAAGTGGCGTAGGTAATCCTAACACGTAGTTGAGAGTGTTGAGACGCATATTTATTACAGATGCAAATACGCGGTTACTAATTATTATTATATCATTATCTTCGCACGTCGATATTTCCATTAAGTGCATAACATTGATATCTAACAGGCGATGGAAATTCAGATTGTTATGTCAACGAAGTCTCGTCGTTTTTCATCAATCATTGAGATTATATTTCAGAGTTCAGACAGTAATTACAAGCGAAATCGAATAATCAACACATACGTGTCGGTGTGGCTTTAAAAAAGGAAACCGGTACGACTTACTAATGTACGAAGAAACAAAAATAATAATGTGTCATATTTAAGTTAAATACTTAAATGTATGTTATGCATATATCTGCCCAGTGGCGGATTTTACAGGTGGCCAAAGGGGCCTCGCCCCTCCACCTATTAGCCTAAATTTGGTTTTATTAATGTAATAGTAAATATAGATAAGTAATTGAGTGTGTGAAAAAGTTATATTTTTATCTGGTAACTGTGAGTAATTTTATAGCTTATCAGAAAAGGGCTACAATATTCTTAGCAGGTGAAATATTATTCAACTTGCCAGAGTTTGCGATTCGGGTATTATAAAAATATATTATTATTTTCTTAATGTAAATGCCATTGTTTTCTTTCTTTTCGAAATAGAATATTAGGCTTTTTTCTGAACAAGTAGTAATTTAATAATAATTATTAAAATCTTTATCCAATTTAGTTATAGCAATCGATATCGACCCCGCAAAAATTCAGTTGGTGAAAAATAATGCGGAAATGTGTAATGTTCATGATGAGATAATATTTATAATTGGAGATTTTTTTTAAATGCATGACCAGCTACAAACAGGAAATGCGATTGTTACTACGTCGCTTTGGGGTGGTTCTAATTATGATAATGCCCAATCAATATTAGTCCAACAAATATTTTAGTTGACAAAATTTTGGAATTAGGAATAAAGGTGGCATCAAAGATTTTATTACACATGCCGAAAAACCTAAACACAACTAAACACAACTCACCCGCATGCCAGACATTTACCGAATATTTTCAATGATTGCACTCTTTGATATAATGATAATATTGTATTAAAAGTGGCTGAAATACATCTAAGAGTTGCGCACGGTTAGGTTCGATATTGATCGATTATAAACAACCGAGATATTTTCCTATATTGTCACCTCTGAGATATGAATTTTAAAAACATATTAGGGTATTGTTTACTTTAATAAAACATATTATTGTGTAAATAAACCCTTTAAGGTAGCGATCCACCTATTATTATTAAAAAATAATTTTGATTTCTAAAAAAATTGTGATAAAATAAATTATTAAAATACATTCTATGCTTAAGACGTATTTGTTGGACTCAAATAAAGACAAAGCAAGCCTGGTGTGTATAATAAAGAAAATCTATTGTAGGCACAGGTGTTAGGAAAATAATACTATGTGGACGTGAAACCTAAATAATATTAATATTTGAAAATAATGCGATGTTTTAGAAAATTGCTTAGAATAAATATGATTAACAGTATACCTAATTATTATATCGAATTATAAAAAAGAAAAATTTCAAGAGAAAAAGTTAGAAATAACTATAATATTATATGAATAAGATATATAATAAGTTATAAGACGTATAAAATAAATGGTTGGAATTAAAATAAAATTGAAGGGAAAACCTAAACATAAAAAGTAAAAACATCAAAGCTAGAATACAACTAGACGTATGTTTGTTATTTAAAATTGAAAAGAAAAGCGGATAACATAAAAGAAAAAAAATCTGAAGTTAATCTGAAGAAGGAAAACAAGAAAGAATGAAAGAGAGAGAGGGGGGAATTCTAATTACGGCATAAAAATACAAACTAGGTATAGAAACCTTGAGAATTTCGTGTTTTCCACTACGATTGGTATAGATGCCAATCATCGTGATCTAAATGAATACTCTGGTCATAGATTTCGTAACTACTTCCGTCTGTTGTCGGTTCATCAAATTTCGGAAGGTCCTTATTTATACTTACATAGGGTATATAGGTAGCCTATCGTTTCCGGACGACTACGATGATTACACAAAAATGAAACTAATAAAATTTAAAACACCGCCCGCCGACCATCGCGTGTTTCATTTGCGACATATTAATTATTATAATACGAGTTTTATATCCCCTTTTGAGGTCGGGCATTTCATAACAGTATGCGATATATTATATTCTACGATATAAGTGTACAACGATACGTGTTCATAAATCTTATCTCTACACGTGATATCGTCGTCATCACATATACGAGTGGTCGTCGCGGGCGGCGGCACAACCATATACAATACGAACAAATTATTATTATGTAAATCGACATTTCGAATAAAACGTTTGAAAAAGCGAATGACGTGACGTGGCGAAGTCGGCGTTGCAGGTGCCCCATTAAAAATAACGCACATAATACAACATATACCCATGTCTACCGCGACCACGTGCACCTGCCGTTTGGCACGATACGTTGCGGTTTCCGAGCGTAAAAAAAAAAAAAAATATACATACATTATACCTCATTTTAAGTATCGCGCTGCACATCATGCCGTATCGTATATTGTATATAGTCCGACGCCATATACTGCATAGACGGTGATTGGAGAGGGGGTGTGGGAGATGTGTGCAATGAGATACAAACGCGTCGTATAACCATCAAAGCGAATTATATACCTATTACAATATGTGTATACATTAAAATATAGGCTTATAAAAAAAAAAAAAAAAAAAAAACGATGATAAAAAAAAAAAAAAAGAATAATAATAATAAATGAAAATATTAGAAAGGATATCGTGTATAATGGTGTATATATATATATATAAGTATTGTAACCGATCGTGTGGTGTACGTATATACGCGTATACTACACGAAAACCGTATACCCGTAATCGATTACGCCCCCGCGCGATCTGGTATACCATCACTGACCAAGTATAATATTATGTACCTATACGCATATATATATAACATAACATGATATGAATATGCACCGCGGCTGTAATAATAATACAATTATTCGCAGTTACCGAGCTGTTCGTCGTTCCCATACGCACACGTCATAATACACAATATTATATACATAAGCCATTACAGTAACAATAATAATATTAGGTATTATACATATATCATTATACACGCGTAGTACGGTATATCGATGTATGTTTCAATACGCATAACATGTACCTAATCTATATACACACTACACACCGTTCGATGTCGGTTTCACGTGTCACGACGAACCCTTCAATTACCTACCTATATCCGCGTGTATCGTACGCGTACGTACTGCACACGATATTATGGTCGGGCGGTAATCGGTGTACGGTTAAAGCTCGGTCATCTCCTCGTCGCGGCGGTCGTTGTATCGTCGTAATATCGTGTACGGCAATAATTATTATTATTGTTGTGCTCTGTCTGGGTAAACGCAGCAGATCCGTTCTTGCGGTCGCCGAGCTTCCCGATTACACGCGCCCGGGCGCGCGACACCGCGACTATATAGGTAATATATGCACGCGCGCATAATAACATTACGCAGTATACATTATATTATTATCGTCTAATAATACGTCGTACAGACCGATTACTGTTTGTTTTCAGACGTGGTTAATATTATAATACCTAGGTATACAGGCAATAATATCATTATCGATTACTATCTGGGCCGGTCGACTACGGCCGTATGGATGGCTGTGCTCGATACGTATACCTGCAGTATGTTATAAATATCCCGTGTTACGCGTACGCATTATTACTATATTATTATTATCATTACTATTATTATTATTGTTATTACATGCGATTACAACGTACTGAACCGCGGCTGAGCCCGATTTTCCACGATCCGATACTGTAAACGATAATGACGCGACGTCGTCAGTAATAATAATAATAATAATAATATTTAATGGGAAATTTCTCTGCGACCGGTTTTTAGATTTTCGATTTATTCACGACTTAAATATCTGAATTTTTTCGATTCAAAAATCATTTACGCCTACATTACGTATACTATGTGTTATAGCGCGCGATTATGTCACGAACTCGTTAAACGTTGTTATCCTCTTTTTCAAACGAAAAATCTATGAAAAAAAAATGTTTAAGATCTAACGGTTAATTAATATTTTCAGCATAACATGTTAGTAATATAGTCGATTTAATATTTCGATAAGATTTATTATTTCAATTCTATAGAGTTTTTTTTTTTTTTTTTTTTGGTTATTGTCGTACAGTTATATTTTTTTTAACGTTTTTGTATTTCACAATGATTTCCCTCGGCGTGATCACGTTCGGCCAACATCAATCTGATCAACTTGTACGCCGTAAAGTCATTGCTGGAACAACCCAAAACTGATAGGTTAGTTGCCCGACATGAGAAAACTGTATAGCCTTCGAACGCGAATATTACCATTTCATAGTCCATAATCCGTCTAAGATTCACGATGAATCCAAGTCTTTCCAGTTTCTCTGAGTAAACGATAGAATCAAAATTAAATAAAAATTGTTCTATCGTTTTGACAAAAACGTATGAAAAACTTTATTTTTTATGATTATTTCACTTTAAGAATCAATCAATTAAATTATTAAAAATAAAAATGATTAAATGACAGCATACGTATTATACAAAACATATTTTTTTTAACATTTAATACGAGTAGATACCAAAGGCAGTATAATAAAAACAATCATGATAGAAAATAAAACAGTAAGACGAAATCAAGTTATTTGATTCTAATATGATTTTAGTATTAATTTCTTTTAGTTAAAATTTATAGATGAATTTAAATAATCTAAATAATATGGTTACCCGGCGTTATGAATAGGCAATATGGCTACACTCTGTTCGAGGATAGGTATCCTCTTATAACTTCTTTTCATAATATTTTGTGCAGGTGACTTACTTAAGAAGGATTATTATGATATAATATAATTATACTACATTCAAAATCGAAAATTTAGTATTCTAACGATAAAATGTATGTTTACTTTTTTTCAATAATAATATTATAGTTTGAACGAATATAACTACATAATAGAAACTTAAAAATTACAATAAATCCTTAAAAATAGTTTGTATAGTTCCAATTTTACACGTAATTACGTTTATGTAAATAATATATTTGACTATTTTTTTAAAGACATGAAAAAAATACATTTTAAGCCGTGTTACATTCTATGGTGTTGGGGATTGTAGATGTAATATTTGCGAATGGGTTATAAAGTTACAATTTGTGATAGATTCGATCATTCACTTGCGCATGTATAAGATACAGAACTAATTACCTGTAAATTTGAAGATTTAAACAATGGCTGAAAAGAATATGGGTCTATTTATAGATGTTTGAATCACTTTAATTGTTAAACAATAAATACAACATTCAAAGAGATCTACCCTTTTTTAAACTATATGGAATCACGTAACAATTCGATTTAATATTTATGATATTTTATAATTGGATTTTTTTTCTACAATACATGAAATAATATGATATAAGTATAAGTAATTAAGAGGAAATTAATTTAATAAAACAATAAATCTATAAAAATTGAACGGAATTTCATAAAGCTTATGATGAAATAGTTAGCAATATTTTTATTTTATTTTTATTTTTTTTTAGTGTAAAATAGTAATATAATAAAAACATATTTAGTGAGAATAAATAAATAATTATTTATATGGTTACCTTTATAAGTTACCTTTTACTTATTTAATAAAAACGTAGATCAGAATAACTTTGCAAAAGAGGAGGGAGAAGCTTTCAACGGCAAAATATAGTTTTTAACTACTTAACGTATTATAGTAATCATATTTGAAACGAGGATTTTAAGGATATTTAATGAACAAAATCAAAAATATAAGATATGGTATTTAAAATTAAACGGTTTTCATATGTCTTTTTTTAAATTTTTTAGTGGAAATTTTTACAGAGATTTAACACCAACTGTAGGTAACTAATACGTACCTTTGATGTGTTCGACTCTTGTCGTTCGGTGCTTCAGAACCTCGCAAACTTTGGTCGGCCCATACAGGATATCAACTGTATACCTATGACACCCATCATTCTTTAGTATGTCATTTGTTTCCATTTCTGGTCGAGAAAATCGTCACTACATAGTTTAGAAAAACAGGCGAAACACAATAAAATGATAAAATAATTCTGTAAAACTGTAAAATATTGTTATGAATGAATTAAATCGTTTGCGAATACATAGAAACACGAATGTATAAACACTCTAGTATTAAAAATATATAATAAATTTAACATATGACATAAATTGTTAATGTTTGAATTGAAAATAGAGTAAACTCGTGAAGTTTTTAGTTATTTTATTGTTCAATGCTTAAAAAATTATTTTTATAATTTATACCAACCGATTATGATTTAAATTTATGTAACAAATGAAACGTTTTTCTCGCAAAACTGTGTACATACACGTCTTCTGTATTTCTGAAGAAAAAAAGATAAATTATTATTAAATAGAATTTAAAAAACGTGTTGTATAGAAATTATGCATTAAACGCATACATTCTATAAAACATATGACTGCAGATAATGGTGACTTTAAAACAACCAAAGATAATAATATGCTTCCGATTTCGCAGTAGATATGGATAATACAAATTTTCACACCAAACTATACGCTCCCGCTAGTCGAATTGCGCGTTCAACCTAGCTGCAACAATCTACTGCGAAGGTTTTCATGCACTTTTCACACGCTTCCTACGTTTTGTAATACTGCGAATAAAATAATTATAAAACGAGATTCGATTTTCAATTACCATTACAGTATATTTTATCACGCATACATAATATTATACTATCATACGATATTTTAATGGTATCTACATGCGTTTTGTGTAATGACGTTTTTATATTTTTCATTCTTTGACGAATTTACGAACTCGCCAATAACTATTAAAACTCTCTGTTATCATCTTTTAGAAAAAAATAATATTTAATACATCAATTAAAATTTAGTCATAGCTGAATTTACTAGTTTAAAATTAACAATTTATGTTTTTATGTACAACTGCAGCTCAGTAGTTATATATATTTTCGTTTTACGAATTTAAATATAACCGTCTTTGTAAATTCAAACGATCAACAATTAGTCACTACTCACTATGCAAAGAGAGCGACAATATCTCATTGATACGATGTCACAGTTGTATTCGATACGTTTGTAGTCTGTAGTAATAGTTTGTATTTCTGGCACTATAATGCTTGATTATTCATATTTTTCTACTATTAGTAGTACATAATATTATATTTATTATATTAAACTAAGAACTCAACAATGTAATTTGTATGAACTGTAATCTTAATTATGTACCACAACATTCTGTATTGTAATAGGACATAAGTCTGCACATATTTTAAATAAATAAATAAATAAATAATTATTTATACCAATCCATGCTAAATGTTTTCTCAAAATCTACACAGATATATACTAATACTAGATAGCCGTCTTCGAATACTCCACCACAAAGTAAGCCGAAACACGACGCCATATGCAAAGAAGACAACTCGATAAACAAACGTTATCAATGTTAGACTACTATAAATATAATAAATATTATATCATAGATTTATTATATTGTTATTATTAATTAAAATTAAGACTTACCTACATTTTGTTATTTCTTAGTTCTTTTTTTTTTATAATTAAATAATATGTTTTATATTGTAAGCCAAAACCATTAATTAATACTACCTATGTAGTATGTACGTATATTAATATACATCAATTTAATCTAGGATATAACTAAATCATATTGTTTTATGAATTATGAAACAAGGAACCATCGTCAAAAATACTAAGATATAAATTACAGGACAGGTACTACATAACATATTATTAAAAAAATGGACAAAATTATACAATTAGCAAAAAATCATAGAGTAAGTATACACATAGTTATTGATTATAAAAAATAATAGTTTTCGTTAATTATTGACGTTTACTCACAGGGTTTAACAAGTCTGATGAAAACTGTTTGCCATAAGATTGTAAACGAACAATCAAAAAATGTTTAACAAGTAAAGTTATTAAAACTAATTTATGTGGTCTTTTTAAAATTTCAACATTTTCACAACTTAAATCTTTAAATATAGATTGGTCCAAAACAAATTTGTTAACAACATAACTAATAAATTTTTTGTCTACATTTTTAATATTAATATTTGAAAGATATTTTGTACGATATAAAAAACTAATTTCAGATTCTTTAATTATTTTATACACACAATCAGGATAACAAACTTTTTATGTTTGAGTGGTAAACTATAATTATGTTCATTTCTATTTTCTAATAATGATGTTATAAAGGAATTGCAATCTATTATTTTACAAACCTTTTTAATAATATACCCTGTGATATAATATAAAATATTTTCTTTAGCCTCAATCATTGCTTTGTTTGAGCTATTTAGCAATGGCATTCTATTTAGAATGTCTTCATCATTTTTTTCTTCTATTTCATCAAAATCATTTAAATTTTCATTTTTTCTGTTCTATTTAAAATCCAACAAATCTCCAAACACATCTTCATCAAATCTATTGCAATTTCCATTTGTTTTACAAGTAATAGCATTTTTCATTAATATTTGTTTCAGCGCCGTTTTAAATTGAAATACATTTGGGTTATTGTTTAAACCAAATTTCTGTCTAAATCTTGAGAATAGTATTTCAATATGATCCTGGGAAAACTTATATGACAAAACAATTAAAATGAGGTGTTTCATGAAATAAAGCCCTTTAAATTGACAAAATGGATTTAGAAGCAATTGTAAAACCAATAACAAAAGATTACTTATTTGTTGTGTGTACAATTGGAACTACAACAGATTCTAAAAAATCAACATGTTCGGTCTTGACGATTGATAGCAATCGGTCGCATCGATTTTATTATTAAAAATGCGATTAGCACACCGGGCTGTGTCATTGTTAAATTAAATCTAATATACAAATTAGTTGTTATTGTTTAAAAAAAAAAAATATATAATAATATACTTTTATAAATATAAAAATAAATAGTCGTGCGCTCGAAATGTTTCTTCACAGTCGCCGCATGACCCAAACACAACATTTGAGGGAAATATTGGAGACTTAAATCCTTTTATAATATATACAGAGTAATTATTTTATCATTGAACACTCATTATTTCAAAATGTGTTGACTTTTTCAATTTTTTTTTTTTTTCAAAATTTTTAATTTTACACTTTTTTAGAATTATATAAAATTTTAATTTTTTCACGCTTATACTTAATAATAAAACCACTATAAACTTTTGATTTTCAAATGGCAACTTATATTTTAAATTTCATGTAATAGGTCTATTTTTTTATGAATTTTAACGTTTTAATTATTTGTTTTCATTTAACCGTTAACGAGTTATAGCTGCTCAAATTTTGGTGTTTTTCAATTTGTATTATACTTCTTGTTTCTGAAAACTTGCAGTTACATAGGTAATAAATAATAATAATATACCTAAATACCTACATGTTTTTACGTGTACAGAAATTCATTATCGACTGTTGTTCGATGCAGTGATAAAATTTGTATCTGTACTCTGTAGTAATTATGTCCAATATGTAATGAATTAATTACATACTTATTATCATATCTAATATAGATAATAACCAAGCCAGGTACATCAAGATAGATAAGAATTCTCATCAATCTCTATGACTATGTAGTTACTTTTGTCGTCGTGACAGTTCGTAACTAACGCGTATTCTTTTGCGTAAGAAACAGCGAAGAGAATAAAATGGAAACAAAACAAAATTTATAGTAGATACAATATTACAATTATGGTAGTGATAATACGATATCGCCATATTACTCCCCCTCGGCGAAAAGAAAACAACCGGGCGTTGATTTTAAACGATATTGTGCGCGTACGAATGGTCAGCGATTGGGACTTCGCGCGCGATAAACGTTGGTTTAAGTCGATCGATGGAAACCCAAGTCTTTGAATTGTTGCGCTGTACCTTGAAAATTTTTACCAATCCATGCTAAATGTTTTCTCAAAATCTATTTATTTTTTTTAGATGTATCAGAGAAACACTTTCCAAGCATCAGGGTTCATACCGATTTGAGTCTTACATGACACACTTAAGCATAACACAAAACATTATTTATATTATAATTTCATACAGTAATCGTTATGAATAATATATTATTGAGTTTTCTTTTCGATGTTTTAATTTTAAAAGTTGATTACGTATACATAATATTGTAGAACCGTCATCGTTCTGGTCAAACCGCCACTAACAAACCTTAAGAGTGTAGATAATGAGCAACAAGTTTGGTGGGAAGGGCAATCATGGTGCAGAAGGGTTAAATTTTAAAAAGATGCAAACCGCGAATTTCCTCAGTGGGATTTTTGCCAATAAATGAAGAACCAATGTTCATTTAATAGTGCCGCGAAATATTTCTCAATACCAAACGAAATTAAATTTCATTATTTTTTTTCTGACATAAGTTTTACCCTAATATATACTTTCCGTGTCTCCAATTTCGTACTTAGTACCAACATAAATTCATACCAGGAAAACATGGTTTTAAATCGCACGTACTGCCAAAACGATACTCAATTCAACGCACGAGACACAACAGATAAGTACATTTTTACGTTAAATCAATGTGGTCGGGTCTTTTTTAATTGTACTCCGTAATACCTATAATACGTATAGCGTACTTCAACGTCGTTTGTAATCTATCGTCGTTGTTTTTCGTCTTTTTTTTCGACGATTTAATTTAAAATCGATTCATATGCGTACTGCAAGTATATTTTTTCAATCGCGCCGTCCATCCGTATCCGTTCCGCCGTCAGAATACCGGTCGGACGGCCACAGACGGACGTGTAGGGTGAGATTAATGATTATTAGCGATGGGAGCAGGAGGGGCAAACGTACAGTGCAGAAGGGTGGCTGATAAAAACGCCGACCGCGACGACTCTCCTCTTGACAAGCCCGGGAGGTCGTCTCCGTGTGAATTTATCCTCGCGGGCCGCGGACGCTGACGTTTACGACTCGAGCACGTGTAATTTATATCATATTTCGTATACGCACGCGCACACTCATTCGGTGGAGTCGCTCGTACACGCGGCGTATCACGTACAATAATATTGTTATGATTGTCGGGCACGTTGTGTTTTTCGATTAGGTTTCAAAAACGGTTTGAAAACGGGGAAAAGAGGAAAAAAATAAAACAAAATAAATAAACGGGGACCTCCATTGTCGGCCGGCGGCGCGCGGGCACACATTATTATATTGTATTACGTCTGAGGTATGATCGGACCCGGTGGTCTTTGTGCGCGTCCGATTTATTGGATCGCAGTCCGACTGTCGTTTCGCGGTCGCACAATTGCGGTGACGACTATGGTGCAATTTCGGAGGTCAAAATCGTATCGGAATCGCGTAGGTATAGAAAATGCACAATGTAATACCCCATGCACTACTCGCTTGCAATATATAATAATTCACCGCACGACAATAATGAGCGAGACCGCGCGCGAATAGAAGAAAATAATATAATATCATATAGTCACCGCGCGAGTCCCGCGAAAACGCCTCTTTTCGTTTTGTTTTCCTTATTTATTTGTTTTTTTTTTTACAACCTCTGTCATTTTGGGCCCGAAATATAAACTGACGTTCGTTTGTGTCTATTCATCGAAACAGACCGTCCACCACAGCTCCGATTAACCACCATCGAGTTAAATGATATATAGTCCGATTTTTAAATCCGAAAAAAAAATGAAAATCATATAATTATGTAAGATAGTGATTTTTTCATGATATTTTTATTATGTGATTACAGTGTCATATTGGTGATCAAGTTTCTGCTTTGAATGATAATACTGTTAAAATTAAATATCGGTAACTATACGGTGTTATGCGCGCGGAAACGATGTAAAATATTACTGTACAACATTTTTTCTCTATATATTAGACCATTGTTTCGAACGTTTCGATACACTAGGACAAACGCATGGATTTTTAGATTTTTACATGTTTATATCACTCAGCAAAACAATGTGGATGGTTGGTTTTCAACACACAAAATGTATATGAAAAAGTTTTAATTGAATATTTTAGAATGTTTTCAAGGGTTAGGGAATATCATTAACATATTCAAATAATTTGTAAATAATTAAAACTACTCAAATGTTCATTATTAAATTAATAGATTTTTATTATGATTTCAGTTTTGATACTTACTTTTGAAATTTTTTTTCAACATTTATGAATAAAATAAAATAAAATTTTTTTCTTTTAATATATTACAATAAATGTATGTTCTATTGAAGTTATTAGAAGTTTTTATCTTATAGGTATAGGCACCTAATAATGTATTACTTTTTTTTTTTTTTTTTGATTGATTAAATACTGTAGTAATCATATTTTGATATATTTATTGATTTATTTTACAAAAATAAATCTAATTTTTTTTTTATTTTACTAGTTAATACAAGGAGAATATTTAATAAACTCGTAAATTATTATTTTGTGTAATATTGATATCACATGTAAATTTTAATTTTTTTTTTTAACCTAAAATCGAAATCTTAATCTGTTTTGATCACAGCGAATTTTTATATAGCTACACTAATAGTCGGTTTTTGCTACTGCTGCAGGATTTCTCTGAATCGCGTTATCAACGGCAGACGAATCGACGGCAGTGACGTACAGACAAACGCGCCTCGTCGGAAAGCTATTGCTCGCATAACGATATCATACCTACCTATGGCTATTATCGTGTACTATTATACATACGCGTGTTATACGTGTGTGCATTATACCCTACACACACATATTATTATATTATAACATACACTCGAACGACTATACAACCGACGTCGAGACACGTTTTTGATTACGATAACACTGCGCGGCCCGATGACGGAGCCGATAACGTGTCTGTGTCTCCTTTGTGTCTGCCACGGAACGATTTTTTTACAGGTCACGTCTGCCATGCTACACACACACACACCGATATAAACACAGACACACACATGCTATCTCTCAAGAAACCACCACGTGGGTGCTCGTCGTGAGACAACCTGGTACACTGCAGCAGTGCACGTGCAACCAGTGGATAGGTATAATATGCTTGGTCGACCACGTACTACTTACCACTTGTGTGTATGTGTATGTGTGTGTGTGTGTGTGTGAAAAACAATAATAATGACGACGGTGATGACGATAATACTCTCGGGGTGTATTGAAAGGCTTGGACGAACAGTGTACGTAATTCGATATTCTAATTTTTGTACACACGTGATTAAATACACACTAATTCGTCATTATTATTATTATTATATATTGCATACGAGAACAAGACGTACTCGAGATCGAACCGGTGCCGAGATGAACATCGATCGCGGGCTCTCAGGTATACTCGGCTTCCGCGAGTGAAAATTTGCGATCTTGGCATACATCTACGACAACGTACCTACATTATTTAGGAAATTTATCATTACTTTATTACGTAGTTTTGTTGTAAATTTTAACTTAATAACTGATAAGTGTGTATATCGTTTCGAAATGGCATTGTTTCATGATATCTTTAATCAAACTTCACAATATTCAATTGAAGATCATCGCAATGTCATATAGGCAGATTACGTTAAATAAAAAAATGCCAAAGACGAAAAGACAACTATTGTATGACGTGATACCCATGCAACACATAAATAATAAACATAAATCATCGTCACAAATAGAAAGACTTAATCCTTCCTCCAAGATTCAGGATTTTAGAATTTAAAAATTAAACATAATGAAATAATAAAATTAAATAATAATAATAATAATAATAATAATGAATTATAATTTTGTTTTTGTAGTATAATATTTCCAATAGTTCTTATTATCTGCGTGATGAGAATTCTTTTATTTTCTGTAGAAAATATGGATAAAGGATAATATTAATATACTATATGACCAGACAAAGTAATTTTTATCACATTATACGTATTTTACAGACAGTTTGCTTTATAAATGTGGATATAAAATAGATATTGCATTTATATAATAATTTGTATTTGTAAGGGTATTTTACTGATATTAAGTTCATAGTTTGTGTATGTGAGAACTGCGTCTCACGTTTTATCTAATCAATATTATTGGAAGCTACAGTACTCTATAAATTTCGTCCTTTTGTGCTTTAAGTATATGTACCTAAATATTAATAATATAATATGTACAATTGTGTATACGTGATGTGTATATTATATTGTATTATGACACTCAGCATTGGCAAAGACATGTACCTACATACGTATAATACATATCATATTATTATGTAAAATTTGAAAATAAAAAAATCAAACTTTTAAATTAATAAATTGATTTTATATACACACCATCTCGCAAACGTGCATCGTCTAATTGCGGGTCATCGGACGATTGACTTCATAACACTATAACAATATCAATCATCAATCATCATGTTATAACAACACAACGACGCAACGTGTGTAGTAGTATTATAATTTTATCGATTTTTGATTCGATTGTGATACGTATTAATATTATTGTTATTGGTATTATAGACGGTTTTTAGTTTTCTATTTTAAAAATATATACTTTACATTTTATTGAATCGTATGGTTCACAGCACACGGGAATTATTATATACGTGATTTTGATTGATACCTACGATTATTGCGGCGAAGAAGTGGTCCGCGAGGTGTGATCGTTTTATGATAAGGTGTACCTTCTGAGCAGTGGCATAATGATGGGATTTGATTTCTTATCCCCTCTCTCAATGACTTTCTTTTACATAGACTGACACGCCACATTTGTATAATTTTTAAACTCTAAACAATAGTATATTTTATGAAAACAATCACAGAAATTCAAAACTACTGTGCTAGCTGGATAGAACTAAGATAATATTATCTCGTAATAAACATTATTTCACTATTATAATTGGATATATCATCATATTATTATTCTATTGTTATATTAAAATAAGTCATTGAATATTGAAGTATTATTTTATCACAGACGACGACATACAGTAGCGACATCGTAGAAAGTATAAATGAATTGAATGTGATTACTTAAATATTATGTAATTAATTCTTTAGGTCCATATGTTATACATATTATAATAGTTGTATTTAAGAGGAACTTAAAATACATACCAAGAAATTTTTGAAGGGTAATAGGTTAGGTTATGAAAGTATTGAATTTTACAACTTATAAATATTTTTAAATTACACGTACTCAACCGCATCTGATACGATGTTTGTTGTGATGAACGATAGTTTTATATATTAATATAACATTATGCTATTAAGATAATAATAGTAATATCATGAAATATTATGATTTTTGTTGCGGGAACGAAATTTTGTTGGTATGATTCATAAAAATATGAATTTGTAATGTTTTTTTATAATTATTATTTATTATTGATAATATTTTGAAAATTGTACTATCAATATTTTACTTATTACGATTAACTTATTGCTGCGAATAAAGTGCGACTAATTACGGAGTCATAACAGACTAAAGGTTCAATTAATGAAGAGTTCGCGTTTAAAAGTATTTAGTGTACACTTAAAATATAATAAAAACAATAACATATTCAATTATGAACCAATTTTTTTTTTTTTTTTTTATATATTATTTTTATTATTCAAATTCAATAAAAATAAACAATATTTTTATTATGACACAAGTCATAACTCATAACATTTATAAAATAAAAATTCAATGAAAAACCTTACAAATTATAGTAAACACAACAATTGCGGCTAAAAACAAGTAAATAATTATAATAATAATAATAAAAAAAAAAAAAACATTAAATTAATACACATTAGAACAAGAAATACTTTGTTCGTGTAAACTTGCTATGGACGATAACTTATAACACCTACAATTGTCCTTAAGTTACACCAAAGTATATCATCGAACTTATAATAAGAAGTCATCGTGGTATTTACACACCGCTGCCACCGCCGTCGTTGGAGTCAAATTTGACCGGTCAGAAGTATCCACCCTTTTCAAAGTAGCCACCGCCGCCCGCGTCTGCGTGCCCGTACTTCTCACCTTCTTTAATACCTCCTTTCTTGGAGAATTCGGACTGTTCGCCATGATGCGCTTGCTCACCAGCTTCGGACTTGTGACCCTTAGCTTGTTCGTACTTCTTGCCGTGATCGCTCTCCGCTTTCTTTGAACCGTGGCTCTCATGATAGCCTGTGTCAGAGTGACCTTTTTTCTCGCTTCCACCCTTCTCCTTGGCATGCTTCTCTTGTTCATGTTTATGTTCTTCATGTTCACCACCATCGTGTGACTCATCGTAGAACACCTCGTCCTTCTTATATTCGTCCTTGTGGTGCACTTTGTGGAATCCAGACGTCTTCTTGCCCTTCTTGTGGCCGCCTTTTTTCACCACTGAGATACCTTTCTCGCCATGATTGCCATGGTAGGCCTCACCGAAATGTTGTGCCTGGTCCACGTGGCCTTTCTTTTCACCCGCTTTTTCACTCACCTGAGAATTCTTCTCGTCACTTCCATAGTCTTCTTTCTGACTCTTGTCATATGCTTCCTCCTTTTTGAACGCTTTTTCCGCTTTCTCGCCCTCCTCGGATTTGTGTCCTTCCAAGAACTTCTGACCCTGTTCCTTGTCGTAATGCTTTTCCTTGTCGTACTCGCTTCCACCACCAAAACCAGCAGATCCGTGGCCTATGTATCTGCTGCCTTCGTCCTTTAGGTCACTGGAGATCTTGCTCTCAGCAGGTCGTTCTTCTACAATATCTTTGATGTTCTTGGGCAATGGTTTTGGTTCCTTGACGTTTCTGGGTGCCGATTTTGTCTCTTCTAGTGACTCTCTGTCCGTGTCATCATTCTGTGGCTTCTTGGGCTTGTACTTTTTCCGATTACCTGGTGTCAAGTCCGATCGTCGATGGTCAGGCACCAGTATTGAGTCTAAGTCTTCATCCCCGTCTTCAATACCAGCCTTATGTGGTTTTTTTTTACGACGTTCTTCAGGGAATCTGAATGGTTTTTGTTCCGGTATGTCTTCGGCATTACCTCTGCTTCTAGCAGATGGATGCTTGTTGTACGCTCGGTACTCTGAATTATCCGGTTCCGAGTCCCGCTGCGTGTTTCTTGCTCTGTGCGTGTTATACTCTCTGCGGGGTACTTTGGACGTTTCCACTACACTGTACGAGCTGCTAACCCCAGACGTATCACCGACCGGAAGTATTTCCACATTAGAACCCAGACCTATGTATGAGTTTTGTAATTGTCGCTTATGTCGAGTCACTACCGATATGGAAGTAATGGCGAGGAGTGGCCACACGGCAATAATCGTGGCGACACACCTCAAAGTCAACATCGCAATGGTCGTTGAACGTACCGACCAAAGTACCTTCTACTAAACTATGCACGAAACGAGTGCGTTAAAACAACCGAAGACTAATAAAACGACGGACTACAATAATTGGTAACAGTCAAGAAACGTTTTTGGACGATTATTTTAATATTAACTGTCCCGAACGGTGTTAAACGTGTACTGACGATGCGTGTCAGATTTTCTTCTTATAAGTATCCCGGACGTCCCCCGTCAGTGCGCAACGCTGGTCGTTGGTTTGAAACGAATCGGTTGCGAAATCCATCGTGAAAATTCCCAACGAGAAATCATCCATAAGTCGTAACAAGGACAAACGTCTAGGTTTTTCTCCGTATCAACCGTCACCGACTACACCGCGTTTTCCAGGGTCGCGCGTATGAGGTTACGCGTGTAATATATCTACAGCAATGCGCACACACATATTAATAATTATTATAATAATGTGTCGTTTATACACCCGTTTTCCTTTTCGGGGGAAAGCGAATAGTAACTACACCGATATCTTCAAGGGTACGATCGTGTCCGCCGATGCATTGCACGAGCCTTGGACCATCCGATGGACCGTATAATAGATATAATGTCATTCTAAACCAGCTCGTTTCATCGACTATCGTAGCATGTGATCATTATTATTATGACACACGGTCTGCTAATTTCAATTGTAAGACAAAATGAAAGACATATTTTTTATCGATATTCGTAAGACCAAGTAGTATGTATTTCGGGCATCGATCGATCTTTCGAATCGGTTTTAAATATAATATATGTATTTTATTTTAATGTTTGTTAATTTTTTTATTTATCACGATACGGTGTGTTGACTCCGACGAGTTTGTGTTGTTTTCAAATTAATATTTTTCGGTCTACGGCACTTTTCGACCAATTGTAACAAAACTGATTGTACGATATCGCGTTCGATTGTTTGCACGTGTAGTACAATATGAAAACATATTTTTTTTTATTAAACCTCCCATATGGTCTTAAATTTAATCGAGAGATATTTGCATAATGATAGTCCCACTGCGACATACGCTTGAAAATAGACGGTAGCACGCGCGTACATTATATAATATGATATATCATCGACAAATTGCTATTAGTGCATAGTATAGGTAATACATACACGCGTGTCAGACACCCGGTGTATAATATTATGGTATGATAAATGCACACACGTGTGCCGCAATCCAAAAAAATTAAGTCGAAACTTAACCCTTTCGGTTTGGCCTCCGTTTAATTATACCACCATTGGATGGACGCGTCACCTGACAGCATAATTGCCCGTGAAGCAATTTACCGTGGAAAATGCAATCGTGTTCAGTAGAGTATAAAACGTGCAAGTGAATGGGGAATAGGAAAAAATATACCATCGAGACTTATGTCGTGTGCGTTGTACGTCATGATGTTCCTTTGGGTAATTAATAAATTATTGTTGTTATTATGATTGTTAGTAGAGCATGACCTCAAATTGCCGCTGTCGCGCTGACCGGGGCGGCAACGATGACACATCACTATAAAAGTAAGCACCGTACTCGTCATAGTTGAAATAGAAGTTCATTATTGTTGTGCGTAGATAGATATACTATTATAATTTTAGTGATGTCGAATGGTTGACTGTTTAATCATTGTTTTGATAAAACAATCGATATCCGCACACGCACTTGAACATAACAGTATAGCTAGAGGTATACCTATTAGCTATTATACAATATTATACGGTCGTAGTTCTGAAAGAAAAGAAAAAATGATTAATGATTCGTAACACTTCACAAGTGTCTTAGATAATACATACTGTACAATAAAATTTACACTAAAAAATGATTAGTCTATTCGATTTAAGTAATCCGATTGTCAAATAAGAAAAAACAAGAGTCAGAAGACCTAATTATATACAATTAAAACGCCTAAAACGTGCAATATTTTTAGGTATTTCGATAAATTATGTCTTGTTTGCTTAATTACACTTTATTAGCTCTTGCCTTTTGTCCACTAAGATTGAATTAATTTTAAAACTATGCATGTTTAACTTTATTATTATTGTTAATGCCTACGTTTATTAAATGTTTTAACAGGTTTGATGTTCATAGATTGAAAAGTTTATTAGTCTTCAGTGGCACTTTATGCTTTAAAATTAGTTAACTCAAAAAAAATTAATATAGATAATAATATAAACATGAATGGACAATAGTGCATAATTAAGAAACGTATCAATGTCACGAACTACTAAATCATTTTAAAGTTAACATTAACTCACTACTCATTTAATGTTTAGTCATGCTCCCAAAATCAGTATATAGAGATCGAATAATCTACTAGTTACCATAATGGTCATGTGTGGTTGTAAGTACAGTTTTTACAATAAAAAAAAAAATTATCAATCCCCATATGTATCAAATTTTCAATTAAATTAATATTAATATTATTTTCTTTTTTTTATTAATAGTTTAATAACTATAATAACATTTGTCAAAATGTGTTTTAAAATATTGAAGATATTATTATTATTATTATTATTATTATTTAATGTTATCGCCACAAAAATAAATAATTATAAATTATACCAGAAATATACGTAAAATATTCCTTTTTTATATGGGGCGTGAAAGATGAATGTCACATTGACTAATTTAATGGTTTAATAAAATGTATTTGACCAATCATGGACCTTGTTTAAGAGTGACCATTAGTAAAAACGTAACATCCTCAATTACATGTTACTATCATAGTATCATAGGTTTATGATCACACTTGAATAAGATGCGAGTTCTAACCACACGTAGCTACGTAGGTAGACGTATATTAACTATGCAGCTAAAACGAAAGCACGCCGTTTTACCGATTTCCGTCGGCACATTGATATACATGATATTTTACAGCGTTGTATGACGGTTGTGGCGATAGTAATTAATGCAATCTATATTCACATAAACCCCCAAACGGAACAGCTGTTGTGCGTCATATAATATAATTCGGACAAACCGCGTCTATTATACATAATAATAATACACGTTACGTAGTATACGTAAATCGTTTGAGTTTCGGTGACGTATGTCCACTACAACTCGTATCGCACGTCGACAGCGATGTATCGGAAATCAGTTTTCGGGGTACGCATCTCGAGACGCGATGCAGTTCCGAGGGGATGATTTTATAATAATATAGTCGACGCGTTCGCGAAAGTCCCCGATGGACAGAGTCGTATATATTATACGTGTGCATAATATTATACACAAAATAATAATAATATTATATATATTACAAATCGTTAGCTGCGGCGGCTGTATATTAATATGACTGTGTGTGTGTGTGTGTGTTGTATATATTGCGCGTGTGTGCGCGCCGTTGAAGCGACTCGTGTAATTGATGTTTTTCGGACAGCAGACGACGTAGTGCAAGTGTGCGTGTCTATGCGTGCGATATTGCATGTGCATAATAGGTACATATATATTATATACATGAACACACGCGGTGAATATAATTAGCCGCCGAATATTGTAATATTATTATTATTATTATTATTATTATTATGCTCTCTATATTTGTGTACGTCAGATGTTTCCCCGGAGGGTGGGTGGGATAGGTTTGCGTGCAGTCCGATGACCGTCCGGCAGGAGGAACCGCGCGTTTCCGCCGCCACCATATCGGTCTGAGCTGACCGCCGCGGGGTCATAACACTCCGAACCCCCCGGAAGGGTTAGAGGTGAATCCTTCCCTCGACCCGAAGAGTTGTTTTCCTACACGTTGTTACACGTCACGTGTGTTTGTGTATATTTTATTGAAACGATCGGTGTTTTTACAATATACTCGTATGTATATTTCGGTAGGTTTTGTTTGCACAGCGATACCGAGCCGGCCACACTATATACGTATATATAGCATAGGAGGTACGTGCATATATTACACGTATAAATGTATACGTAATGTATAAATATATAGTCGTGAAATAATAAGCGACGGTGTATAATATTAAAATAACACAACGATGGCGTAAAAAAAACTTCCGGCCGCCGGATATAACAATATAATGATACATGCGTGTGGGTGTGTGATTTTCGCGATCCAAAAAGTATGAAAGAGTGTATTTGTTTACGCGAGTAATTGCAAGACGTATAGATATACACGCCTTTTCGGCTATGCGTTATAATTGTTCGTTTACGAACACATTAAATTGATGAACAATGAATATTCCTCTAAAGTTAAAGAGTACCAAAGGTTCTTATACAAGCTAATCTTTTAAATATTCATGTAATATTTTCGTTCATATGAAAACGATCAAAAATTAGCTGTGTATTATATTATATTATAATTTCATTGAATATAATATGGAATTAAAAATTATTTTCAATAAACTATGTTCAAAAACATTATATAATATACTATCAGCTGTATTCTATAAAAAAACGTTTAAATAACTTTAGCCAGACAATAATTGTTCAGGTACGATAATTAATATATTTTAAAGAAATGTGAAGGACGTAATAACAATAATAACGCCAATATATCGTATATCATTGTTTTAATCGATAGCTTTTTAATCATCTCACTTTTTATGCTTATAAATACAATTGATAAATCTGGTTTTTTTTTAGTTTCTAACCCGTACGAGAATATACCAGGACCGAAAAGATCTTGTTAAGTTATAAACAGCAAATCATCAAATGGTCATCATCTTTAGTTACCTTTTCATATGAATTTAACTGAATAGGTGTATTCGAAAAACGAAATGTTATTATTTCACGTTTTTGGTACCTGACCGAAAAAATACGACGATATTCTAATGACATCAAGACATGTTTCGACCGTATAGTATGACGTTATTTTTCATTGTTCACGCATGAACAACGGTTGTCATAATAGATTATTGACTCCAAGGAGACTTAACACGCAAACAGGAGCTAAATGGTCAGTATTGGAGGTCCAACAGTTTATGGCGTATTAATGTATTGTATAATATTTTCGTGTATGAATACACGATGGTAAATAAATCGCGCATTAGTATTTAAACAGATACACATATAGAGCCACATTTTATTATTATTATTATTATTATTATTATTATTATAATTATTATTGTACTCGTGCGCGAAAATGTCCTTAAACGGGCGGCGGCCCCGCCAGTGATGCATATGACAACGAGCATGAC